CAACACGTCATCAATTCAAATTTTAAACTAATTTATTTCACACCAACACATGCTCACAATTTCTATGACACAAACCATCAAAATAACATCATGGAAACAAAGGTTTCTTACCATTAATCAACTTCCCAAAGCCTAGAAAGCAACCTCCAAGCCAAGCTCCATCAAAAACTCACTTTTTCCACCTTGGATGAATAGTGCACGAAAATGGGGTGATGGATATCTCCCTCCACAAACGAAATCAGCTCAAATGGAGGGGTGGAATAGCTTCCTTGGATGATTTCCTATGAGATTGGTATAATGGGTCAAAGATTTGGTTGCTTAATCATGGAGAAATCAAAGAAAAATCAAAACAAGCCCTAAGCTCTATTCTCCATGGCTGTCACGGTTTGGGAGGGAAGAGGGAGAGAGAGAGAGTGTGAGAAAAAGTGGTGACTTTGAGTCACTTAATGTACTTTTTAGCCTATGTGGCTTTACCAGATGTTTTTCCTACGCATATTTTTACTTAAACTGACCCGAAATTAACTTAAAGCTACGGACATATTTTTATTTTTCTAAAATCATTTACATTACTTTTTATTTCTTACAAAACAATATTCATAATTCACAGTATGGTTTTTGCACCGTTTTTGACGAAATGCACTGTGAATCACTAATTGTACTTCGTTTACTTATGAAACTTAAAACTTATAAACTTATCATTTTCTTGGGCCTATATTGACTTTCTTGGCATATATTGGACTTTCTTATTCTTATTTCATCAATTATTTATTCCTGGACTCTACCGGTTGCTTAAACAGCAGTACAAAATACCCGGTAGAAACACTATTCACGAGATTTTCACGAAAAGTGCCAGACTATACAATTTTTCGTTCTGAACTCATATTTGTCGTCAGAATTATCAAATTATGTCTCTAAAATTATTTTGCTCTTTTAAGCTCTACCGGTTAATTCACAAAACTGTAAATTCTCCGGTAGAACGCACTGTTCATAACATAGTCATGATTACAGTCAAAATACTCGGAATCACTCACTGAATCTAATTATGGGATTTAAATCCTTAAATTAAATCTCTAATTAAGATTTACCATTTAGGGTCATTATATTATACATATAAACTAAGGATGCACAAATAAGTGAATAATCCTAAGCCTTAAAATTAGGCATATCTGAGAGGCTTTAGAAACAAATTAAACCAAGTTGAAAATATAAAAGAAAAATAGAGGAGAAAAAACTTTAATTGAATTATTTTTTATAATTTAAATTAACAAGGTAAGATCTTTACGATCCTTGTTGATCTTGTGATTTATGAACTTGCTATACTCTTTTGATAAGGGTGTGTATGGGTCGAATTGAACGGAATTTTTTTTAAAATCAAACTGAATTGGTTTAAACGGTTCAGTTCAAAAACTGTTCATAATTGACTCGGGTCAACACTATTCTGAATAAAAAAGAAATGAAAAAGTTTAAAGAAATAAAGTAATAAAAACCAGTTCGGTTCGAAAAAGGTCTAGTTGTTGAATTAGTTTTAAAAACCAATTTGGTTCACGAACTGGTTCTTTAAAAATCAGTTCGGTTCATGAACTAATTTTTAAAAATAAGTTATTTTAAATGCAGTTCGGTTCAGTTTTTTTGGTTATTTTGCATATCCCTATCTTTTGATTTTAGGTAAGATCTCGATTTTAACTACCTTGGGTATAAGTGTTTCAAACAATTTTTGTGGTTGGTATTATTTATATTTAACGACTCTAATTTATTAAGTATGTGAATCGTTGAATGCAAGTGTAATTAATGAATAAGAATAGATGTAATACTTATTATTCTTACATTGATCTTGTCCCACAAAAAAATTAGAGGATGTGCTTTTTTTTGGTGAAAATAAAGTTTACGTGGGGTTAGATATCGGTGTCCCACTAGGATTAGGGCAAACCCTCCAACCCCTTTAAGAATTTATGGGAGGAATTATATATCATATCACATTGGCTAGCGAGATTCGAAATCACGCCCTTGTGGGGGTGTGAGCCTTATCTTTAACCAACTGGGCCTTCCTTCGTTGGCTTTTTTATATTATAATAACATATGGGTAGGGAAACAAATATTTTATGTTGTGATTGGTTAAATTCTTATATTTTATATTACTTGCTATGAATTTTTATATAATAACATCATATTTATTATTTGTGACATTTATAATTATTTTGAAATGTTGGATTCAATTTGAATATGATTTTAAGGTACAAGGTTATACAACTTTACTTAGTGCCTGTTTGGATCCTCTTATTTTTAAGCTAGAAGCTACTTATAAACATAAGCTAGGCCAAACAGATTTTGGGAAAAACTCTTATAATGAAAAGCTCTTTTTTTTATAATGAAGAAAAAAGCTGAAAACTAAAAGCTCGTAGGAGGAGTTTTTTTTTAAGCTCTTATCTGCTTTTCTTGAATTGTGTACTTTTTTTTAAACGAAGAGTTATAAAGATAGAGAGAGAAATAATTTTCTTGAAACATGTGCTTTTAAGTAATTTTTAAGCTAAATTTTTTTATGTAATTACCAAACAACTTTTACCTTCTTTTTTTAAGCTCTTATTTTTAGCTTTAACTTATAAGTAGCTTCTAGCTTAAAAATAAGAGGATACAAACAGGCTCTTATAAATGGAAATGGATTGATGCAAACCAACAGTTGATTTCTTAAAAATTTTATATATATATATATATATATATATATATATATATAGGGACAAGTTATATTTACAAACTTTTTTGTTTACAAACTCTTACAAACTACACTATCTTCTCCCGGGAGAACACTCATTACACTATGTTCTCACGGGAGAACATAGTATAATTTGTAAAAATTTTCAAAAAAAGTTTATAAACGGATCCTTCCTCATATATATATATATTTGGGATTCATGTTAGAATTTCATAGCCATTAGCGGGGTAAAGATTTAAGTGTATCTAATTTTGTATGTGTATACTTTATTTCAAATAGGGCTATCCGTTAGATGGAACCGTTGCAAAATAAAGACCATCCTTTAGAAAAGAGGACTTCAATGAGATCAAGTTGCCCCCAATAAGATGGTATGATATGACTTGAATAGAGAAAGAAAAAGGTTACATGTTAGATGAAGTCGCCCATAGGAAAAAGGTCTTTAGGAGGAAAAGAATATTAGTAAGGTGGAGCTGTCTTTGTTTGATTCTCTAATATGTGATCTATATCGTATTAAATTCATGATTAATTATATTTTGTAAATGATCTTTACATTTCTTTATAACTTGTTTGATTTTATGTTCTTACACATGCTTTATTTGTCTTATGTATATAACTTACCTTAATGATTCAACTATTTAAGTATATTTATAGCTAAGTTGTGTAGAGCTGAGGTGACAAAACGGGTAGGTCTGTCACAACTCGTCCTCGCACATCTCTTAAAAGTGGACTAAAAATAAACACACCCCGTTTTATAGCGGGTTGGCAGGTCTACCCATATAAAAAATAAAAAACTTAAAAAAAAATCTTATTTTGAGTTTTATAATATTATGTTGTTTCATTTCACACTCTCGTTAATTTTTTCCAATCCAAAGCATAAATGTATGTTAATATTCAATTTGACTGTCTCTAAAGTGAATTAGAGAAATGATTTTGGATTGTATTAAGTCTCTAAAGTATGAATTATATTTTGTTGTTGTTGGTAACATATACATTGTGTATCATGAGTTAGTTTTGTTGAGAGATGTTAGAAATCTAAGGGGAACTTTGCCTAAATTTCAATAATGTGAAGTGTTTGAAATTTCTTTATGTTTAATATGATATTGTTAAGGGATTAATGTTTTTCATGTTGTAGAAGATAATTTTATCTTCTACACACATAAAAGTGTATGTGGCCTATGATTTTTTTTTTCTCTTTTTTCTTCTTATATAATCTCACATGAATTCCACATACTTTTATGTATATGTAAGAGATAATTTTATTTCTTATAACATGAGAAATATTAATAATCCCTATTATAAATGATAGACTTGCGAGACTAAGGTTGTTTGGATTAATTTAGCATGTGTGCTAGTCAAATTTGGGTCGTAACACATTTAAACTTAGTATTTGATTTTCTTTAATCAAATTTAATATTTTTGCTTCCTCAGCATAAAAGAAAAATCAAACCGAGAGAGACTTTCATTTTGAAATTTTATAATTAGTTATCCTCTATGTTCGAGCTATTCATTGAGAATTACGTGATAGTTGTTTCTTAATTTTACGAAATTGAATTATGGAATTACGATACAATCCCAATCCTAAACGGCATTCCAAACCTAAAAACTAAAATTACTGACGCCTAAGTCCAATTATAAACCCCAATTACACGCGCTAAATGGGCGTTACTTTATTTTCGATGGGAAGGTTCATTATATATTTGGCATTGCTGTTGCATATAGTTAGTGACAGAGTGTGCTTTAAAATTCAGCGACGATGCTGAAGTTTTTACTTTGAAAACAACAACAGGCAATGACACATCACGGAGAACTGAATCAGTTGCAATGCCATTACTTAACGAGTGGAACGAAGCAAACAAACACCCTCTTAAATATTTTTGTTATGACTTTTGCCATCATATCCTGCTTTATGACAAAGATTTCACCTCGAATGTAGCTACACCCTTCAATCAAAACATATAGCGTACTAAATATTGCTCACCTTCCTCCTAAAATGTCGTTGCTGACAGTTACAAATGTACGGTGGTAACATCAAATACCAAACTCAAAACCCGAAAAATAATGTAGCATTAATAGCACACATCATCTACTAAAACTTTTCTTATTCCAATTTGCCTTTGATTCATTTTCACCCTCACACAACACTAATCATCTTACACGGCGGCGAGGTCAGTCAAGGTGGTGTTTCCCCCTTGCTGCCTCCCTCCGCCACCACCACCACAACCACCCAAGTTTTTCCAATTCAACTCAAAAACAAAGGCAAAGGTGTTTTGTTTTTACCCTTTTGTGTTAAGTTATGAGCGACGCAGAGCAACATCATGACACCGTGTCATCTTCTTCATCATCATCATCATCATTTCCAAGCGAGTCAGAGGAGGAATTGCAGCATATGCAATTGGCCCCACCAGCGTGGAAGAACAGGAAGCACCTTTCAAAGCAGCTATCGATGTGTGAAAAGCCACGTGACATTGCATGGGAGAGGAGGCGCAGACAAGAGCGAAGGAGGAGTACCATTCAAGAATGTGATGATTTGATTCTCACGGATGAAGATCTTCATGAGCTTAAAGGGTGTATACAACTAGGGTTTGGATTCAATGAGGAAGATGGTCAAACACTATGCAACACATTGCCAGCACTTGATCTTTACTTCGCTGTTAACCGCAGGTTGTCACCTAGCCCTGTCTCTACCCCAAATAGCCGTGGCTCTTCCCTCGGAGGCCGTTCTTCATCGTTTGGAAGCCCCAGGAGTGACTCTGATTCCTGGAAGATTTGTAGCCCAGGTCACTTTACGTTGTTGAATGCTTAAAAAGATTTTGTTTTTGTTTTTGGTTAATGTGTTTGTGTTGTAGTTTGATGATGGGGTTGTGTTGTGCAATGCAGGGGATGACCCTGAACTGGTAAAGACCAAGTTAAGGCATTGGGCTCAAGCCGTTGCTTGTTCTGTAATGCAATCTTCGTGAAGTGTGGGTTGATTTTGTAAAGAGGGATATTTCTAGAGATGCACGGACAAAAAGGAAAGGAAGAAGAGGACCTCAGGTTAAAGTTTAATCAGATTCTTCGTTGTGGGGATTTTTTGTTGGTGCCTAAAAGATTCAAATTCAATAGGCTGGCTTCAATTCGAGCATTGGTTCAAGGATAATGGTCTAACCAATCACCCCTTTTTCTTTACCTTTTCTCTTCGTGTAGTTTTAATCTGAAACTGTCTCTCTCAGTCACATGGTAAAATACCATAGGATAGAAGGGGTGTTAGGTTATATATGGCATTTCCTTTACCATGTGGAAGATTAAAGTCAAAGGTAATGTATCGTCAAGAGACTCAAGACATCACCAATTATTTTATGAGTAGAAAAGGTTATATCCATCTTTAGCTTAGCACATCCTTTGACTTGATTGTAAAAGATATATATAGAAGTTATTGCAAAATGTAATTGCTGATTTCATTCTGATTCTCTCCTTCCCCAAGTCATCATTATGGGGTTTTTAAATTACGATTTTGCCGGGTAGTGTTGCGGTTGTTGAGAACACTGACCAAAATGTCACATTTTGTCAAAATTTTTACTTAAATGCCACGCGAACAGTGTTTTTTACCGGACTGCCACGTGTCATAATTCGCTACCACTGGTACCGAATTTCATGGCCAATAATTTCGTTACACGTGGTCATATTGCAGACCAAATTCGCTACGAGTAGTAGCTGTTGGGTATGGCTCATACTTCGCATGCTGATGTGGGCTATAATTATCAAGATCAGCAGAAAGACAACTGGGGTTCTGCTCCCAAGTGAGCGGGCGGGGGTCCGGGGGAGCCGCCCCGACAGGGGTCCCGGGGGGAGTCGCCCCGACAGGGGTCCGGGGGGCAGCGCCCACAGGCCCGTAGAGGCTATGTACTATTGTGAGCCTCTGTTTTATTGTACTTTTCTTAGCAGTTTGGGCTTGGGTCCATGAATAGCTGCTGTTAGGATTTTGTAATCCTATTTATATTTGCCTTGTAAACCGAGAGACTTGTAACGAGTGGCGGTGAGGTGAATATAGTACAAACAAGCTGGACGTAGCCTAAATTGGGTGAACCAGGGTAAATCGTTGTGTCTATTCTCTCTCTCTCTCTCTTTTCTTTTCCGTTTTCGATTTGTGTTTTGTCGATTTCCAACAGTAGCGAATTATGACACGTCAACTTTTTCCTGCGAAAGTGTGCCACGTGTCAAAAAATCATTCGCGAACATAATATGCTACACTGGGTAGCGAATTACTACCTGTTTGACACGTGTTATTTTTGCTAACTGTGTATTCTGACGTGACATAGTTCGCTACACAGTGTAACAAATTATCCCACGTGGCATTTTGGAAAAATTTATTGTTGGCGTGACAGTCTGTTAATTTTTTTGGCCAGGCGTGACAAAATGATCACTGTTCCAAGTTGTTGTTGCCACGGTTCCCGCATTCGAGATGTTGTTGGGCCGCAATTTGAAACTCTCCCTTACTTTCAATTTTTTTTTGGGGGTAAAAAAAACTGTCTTGTTGATCAGTACATGAATGGGTATGAAAAGAAACATGCAAGCCAAGGCAGGGTATTCGAAGATTAGATAAGCAACCTGCAGAAACGCAGCATGTCATGGCTAAGAAAAAGGAGTAATTACCCTAGAATTTAGATGAATATCAAAACGTCAACAACTTATGTTTTTATCAAGTGTGTTTTTTAAAAAATAGAAATAAAAAATAGGCATTTCTTTTGTCAATTAAAAGGGGTTTATACCTCTCATTTTAATGCACTCAAATTTTTTTTGCACTCACATCGATTCTTGTGCTTAGCTTTTTTTTTTTTTTTTCAAAAAAACAAATGGGACCCACAACAATTGTGTCTATCGCATAAGATGACTGCTCTCCTTTAAAAGGAGGAGTTGTTTTCCCTTAAAAGTTCTTTTAGTTCTGTACTAGTCGAATTCATACTCTTAGAAAGACAGTGAGTTTAAATAGGATACTAAAGGTGTCAAATTACAAACTTGATCAGGAAGTCAGTAACTTACTAATCATGCATAAGCCTTTAGTTGAGAGGAAATTTTTTTCTGATGTCTCGTTAGTATAAAGAAATTATAGTTTATGACACTCTGGTTAAATGTTACAGATTGATATTAATACCTTCAATTCAGTTTACTTTTTTGTTGTTGTTGTTGTTGTTGAAATAATCATCTTATTCTGTGTACGTTTAATAAGTACTAGAAGGCACTGACCTGGATCAGATGAGGTATCTTATTCATGGCCATCACTAGGAATTTTGCGAGTTCTAAATCCTGAACTTTCCTTTGGGTTGAACAACACTCGATCAAACACCTCCGAAGAAACTTCATTTGAGGATATTAGGAAGAAAGCAAGAAAACTCGTCTTTTGTCATGGAGTAAAACGTACTGGTTAAAGGTAAGAAGTAGTTTGAATATCAAAAGGTAGAGAGTTATGCATGTAAGATGTAACTAGAGCTTCTTCCTTAACACATACAGCTGGAAAATTGGAATAATTAAAAAAATGAGAGCAAGCTCATCTACTTCAAAAATCAAACAAATAATATGTTATATTTCTAGATACAAATACTACGACAATTTACCAATGGTTCATACCACGGTTGTATTCATAAGTTCATGTTGTTATATTCATGCCCTCCGGCCTCCTCTCTTTGTTTTTTGTTGGTTTCTTCTTCTCATTCATCAATTGTTTTGTTTTGTTTCCATTTTATTTCACAAAGAAAAAAGAGTAAATACCCTTTTTGGTCCCTGACAATATCCACGAACCCCTTATTGGTCCCTAGCAATAAAAAAGGGACATAGTGGTCCCTTAAATTACAAAAAACAGGCCATGTTAGTCCTTATGTTAAATCCAATCTAACGGTCCAACTAACGGTGCACACTTGACACGTTAATTTACTAACGCAGATTTGAGTGGTCCACCGTGGATTTCCAACGCCCTTATTGGTCCCTGACAAAAGCCACAGAGCCTTTTTTTGGTCCCTAACTAAAGAAAAACAGAAACATGAAATCAGAAGATTTATATGCAATCAAATTTGTTAAACCAGAAGACATGGATGTACAACAATATAAAGTTTGTTTTGTCCTTCTAGTCTTGAGGATAACTTTGAGGGAAAGAGTGTGTCGTGTTCTTTCCCCTTGTATTGTATCATTGTATGGGTGTGAGTGCAGCTTCTGTACTGAACCAACTCCTCCAAAACCACAAGCGAAACCTGAAGCCACACTCACCCACCACCACAACCATCGAGGTTGTGATTAAAAAAATCCTGACTTACCTCGAAGCTGGTCGGTTAAAATAGAGATATTCCTATAAATTCGGTTAAAATAGTTGTTGGTGCTGATGTAGACTCGTCTGTAACTCATACTCGGGTGGTTACAACAACTGCATTGGGAATTTTTGCTTCTAAGCTGCCAAATGGTTCTTTGAAATATGTGATTAATCCGCTTTGGAGATCTCTGACCTCTTCGTCTGGTGTCCAGCGCCAGGTATGAATTTCCGATTCACATACAATGAACCTACACCCCAATAATCTTATGCCTTCTTTTTCCCTCCTCTAATATTTTCTATTGGATTTAGGTTGCATCTATGGTACTTATTTCTTGGTTTAAGGAGATTAAGCGTTGTAATTCATCCCAAAACCTTGATGGCATTCCTATTGCCCTCAAAGAGTGGTTGCTGGACTTATTAGCATGTTCTGACCCAGCTTTCCCAACAAAAGATTCACTTCTTCCATATGCCGAGCTTTCAAGAACTTATTCAAAGATGCGTAGTGAGGCTGGTCAATTGTTAAATACTGTCAAGTCTTCTGGTATGTTTAATGAGTTTTTGAGAACTACCAAAATTGAGTTGGATAGCTTGAGTGTGGATGATGCCATTGGTTTTGCATAAAAAATTACAGCATTATGTAATGATAGTTCTGCAAATGAATCCTTGGGAAAGAACACAATGGATGATATTGAATCCTCTAAACAGAGGCTCTTGACTACTGCTGGCTATTTGAAATGTGTTCAGGTATGCTTCAAACATTTTTTTAACACTTCATTGTACTGATTGATATTTCTTGGTTTCTACATCGTTTGTGTGTTTTAAGTTAACCTTAAATAGATTTTTGACGTGCTTATTCTTGGTTCATGGGATGATTTGCAGAGTAATTTGCATGTTACGATCTCATCTTCAGTTGCAGCTGCAGTTGTCTGGATGTCTGAATTTCCTACACGTCTCACCCTAATCATTTTACCTTTGATGACTTCGATCAAACGAGAACAGGTGCTAGTTTAATTTTGTTTCTCTAATGCACATATACATGTTTAATTTGATGATAAATATCTGACTTATCTTTTAGGAGGAAATCCTGCAAATGATGTCAGCTGAGGCCCTTGCTGAGCTAATGTATCACTGTGTTACATGTAGGCCTTGCCCCAGTGATAAATTAATTAAGAATATATGTAGTTTCACTTGCACGGATCCCTCTGAGACCCCTCAAGCTAAATTAATCTGCTCCATGGAGAGTATTGATGACCAAGGTCTCCTGTCTTTTAGAACTCCTGTGAGCAAACAGAAGTCAAAGGTCCATATGCTGGCTAGTGAAGATCGATCAAAGGTGGAGGGATTTATAAGTACACGTGGATCTGAGCTATCATTGAGGCTTCTGTGTGAGAAATTTGGTGCTTTGTTATTTGATAAACTTTCTAAGTTGTGGGATTGCCTGACTGAGGTGCTTTGTTATTTTATCATGTTCCTGTTTTTCTTTAGTTAGGGACCAAAAAAGGCCCCGTGACTTTTGTCAGGGACCAATAAGGACGTTGGAAATCCACGGTGGACCACTCAAATCCGCGTCAGCAAATTAACGTGCCAAGTGTGCACCGTTAGTTGGACCGTTGGATGGGATTTAACATAAGGACTAACGTGGTCTGTTTTTTGTAATTTAAAGGACCACTATGTTCCTTTTTTATTGCTAGGGACCAATAAGGGGTTCGTGGATATGACGGGACCAAAAATGATATTCACTCTATTTTATATAAGCTTCAAAACTGAAAAGGAAAAAGGGGGCAAAGCAAAACACCCCGAGAGAGAGAGTAAAAAAACAAAACAAAACGTCCAACTCCTTTCGCTCTCTCTCATTCTCAATCGATTCGCATCTTTAAATAAGTAACAAAGAAACCCTAATCAGACACAAAGATGTACTAATTTCAGATCTTACAATCCCAATGTCGACCGTAAACACCGGTGGCTACGGCACCGTCTCCGCCGCCTCCGCCGCCCCGCAACCACCAATCACCGCCACCTCCACCAATCGCGCGAGGGAGTCTCTCATCGCCACTCCCCGGTCATGGCGCGAGTTCCTGGATTTGTCAGCTCTCTCCCGCCCCTACTCGTACGACGACGCCATGGTTCGCCTCCGGCGAAACCTGAGTTACTTCCGGTTCAACTACGCCGCGGTAATGCTGTTGATCCTGTTCCTCAGCCTCCTGTGGCACCCGGTGTCGATGATCGTGTTCTTGGTCGTCCTCGTTGCCTGGTTATTCCTCTACTTCTCTCGCAACGGCCCCGTCGTGATCCTCAACTATACCTTGGATGATCGAACGGTGGTGTGCGTTCTGAGCTTGGTCACGGTCATTGCACTTGTGTTCACTCACGTGGGGCTCAACGTGTTGCTGTCGTTGATTGTGGGTGTGTTGTTTGTTGGGTTGCACGCGTCTTTTCGGGTTACCGAGGACTTGTTTCTTGACGAGGAAAGTGGTTTGCTATCGGTTGTGGGAACAAATTATTCCCGGATTTGATTTGAGTTTATTTCACAACATTTTTTTTTTTTTTTTAATTTGTTTTGTGAGAGGTGTTTTCACTTTTCAGCACCTGTTTACCATCAAGTTAGTTTGAGTTTTTCTAATTTGAAAATTTGAATGGTTATTGGTCCAATGAAGAAGGTAGACTAGTTGAAAGCTGGGTTGGTTTGATTCCTCTGTTTTGAAGGGGAGTCCTGGCAACGATGACCATGTATGTTGATTCTTGTGTATCAAGCGACTCTTACTTGTATCTTGACATTCAAGCTGCTGATGCCACTTTGGTTTATCCAGTGTGGATAGGATTGTAACAATCTCTATGTAGCAAAGCATTTATCAACACTGAATTTGAATTAGTTGTATTTTGTCAATTTCTGTCAGATAGATACGTGAATTTTTTGAGGAAGAGGATCCATGAAAGTAAGTACCAGACAATGGATATATCTTGCTTGTTCAACATGTTATTTTTCACTTCCATGTTTAAATTTAATTTGATAACTTCGTGTCTTTTGCTGCAAAACCTCATTTTTCCCATTGCTAATCTGTATTGTGGTTAATATCTCACAAATGGTTCTGTTTCTGTTAGTTGTTTGTTTTGTTCTGATACCCAATGTATTTTCGATCATTTGTTCCACCTTGAAATCATTAGGAAATACTGTTTGTATTTTAAACTTGTAAGTAGGCTTATACCTGCTCCTTTCCTCAAATCCGGTACAGGGACCCTAGCGACCATTTAACTTCAATTAGTTTGCCTTTTGTTGATTTCGTAGCCATTTATTTATTATTTATTATTTAGCAATTTTTTTGGGGTATTTCTCTTATTTAGCTAAAAGAAAGTGAAATTCTTTTGGTGCTCATCATTGTTGAGTGTTGCTGGGAATGAGGTGAAGAGCGCAGAAAGGGTGAAAAGGAGAGTTTTGGGAAGAAAGCTCTCAGAATATCATAATGAAGCGCATTTGAAGGGTGTGTCCAAATGATGGCGGACCATGATTATAAGCGGATCAGTGTGTGTAGATGCAATGATGAGTTGCACATGGCTCCTGGATTTGGAAATTAGCTTTGCTTCCTCTGGTTTCTTCATGTTTTATGTGGGAGAAGATCAATGCAATCATGAATGGTGGTATGATAATATCATTTCTGCCTTCACTTATGTGATTTTCAGATATGATTAATGATTTTTATGCTACTGTGAATATTGGAACGACTATGATTTCATACTTGATGTTTGGTTGTTTTGAGGGTGCTGCAAGTCAAGATGCAGCTCTAAAGTGCATGGATTACTCTCTCAGATGACATGTACGAGTTATTTTCGCACTGTACATATTGGGCTGTCAATTTTTAAGTTTAAACTTGCCAGTTATGATGAACACTTGATGTATACCTCTTTATGACCCCTGGTTTTGCTCTTGGTAGGCGTTGGCTACTTCTGTAAAGTAAGGAAAATTCGTATTAGTATTTTGGCATATTTATGTCCTTGGAGATGGTGATCTCATGGAGTGTTGCAAATAGGCCATTGATTTGAGAAATTGACCCGATTGAAATGCGTTTGAAACATAGGTGACTTGAATGTATATTTTTCTACTTTTAAAGCTTGCTTGTGGCTGCAAGATCTCCTCTTCACATGTCCACCTGTAGCGCCTGCCCTTCCAATTTATCAACGATTTTCTCTTTGGAGCATATTTCAGGCACTCGTACAATTGGCACTTGTTGAAATTTCTGAATTGTTGGGGATTGCTTTCAATAATGATTGTAAACTACATGGAAATTGAAAAAAAAAATTAAAAAATTATAGTGACAAGTTGAAGTTAAGTATCTGATAAACTTCACCTCAGTAATCTCTCTCTTAAATCTTGAACTGTCCTTAAGGAGCACTTATATTTTGACGTAATGCTTGTTGGATACGGTGAGGTCTTTTGGAATGTCTCATATCCATAAAAGAAAGACAAGGAAGATTGCAAGCTGCGATGGGTCTGAACTGAGTTTTTTACAACCCTGGTTATTGGAGTTGTTCAATAGTGATGCGAGAATGTACGGTTACCAGTATCATACATTTTGAGCAACTGAAACTATATGGTAACTTAAAAACGAAATCGTCTGAATAACGTAAATCTGGTCAATAGTCAACAAAGTAAATTCTACCCACAAGATAAACATTCTTATTTTATCAATCTTATAAAATGTTTGCATAGGTTTCTAATAAAGAAAATTGCTGGTAAACAAACAACTCAAACATATATAAAGCTAGTCGTTTAAAAAATCATTTATTACGTAAAAGTTATGTAACTAGCACACTCTAATATGGGCAAAAAAATTAAAATATTATTATTTTAATAAATAATTACGAAAATATAGCTGTTTCGAAACTATCTACGGATCTATTGCAGTCATTCACGTCCAAATTGGGCGTGACTATTCACGCCCAAATTAGGCATGACTCCCAAGGCATTTACGCCTAAATTAGGCGTGACTCGTCTGGTTTTGATACGTGGCACACAAATTTAATAATTTAACCGTAAAACTTTATAAGGCCATAACTTTTGACTCGGGTATCCAAATGAAGTAATTTTTTTTTATTCTACATAACTTTTCGAGATCTACGCAATGACATCTCATTTGATATATTTTATCTCTCACTTTGCAACAACGATACTATAAAGATGGCACCAAAGTAGATTAACTCATCTATAAATAAGGATACTTAATGTCATATTAAAATATATACTTCTACCAAGTGTTTAAAAAAAAATAGTGTACAAGGTTATTTATTTAATGCCCTATCAACTTTCGATGGTAGGATAGTGGCCTACCATGGTGGTGACGGGTGACGGAGAATTAGGGTTCGATTCCGGAGAGGGAGCCTGAGAAACGGCTACCACATCCAAGGAAAGTGTTTAGAATATTTATTTAATTATTTTCTTTATTAATACAGATTTTTCAAATTGATTTTTGAGTTTAAATCACAAATTAAATCTTTATTTTATTTTTCTTATTAATAATAATTTTTTAAATTTTTTTTGTAATACACTATATAATACAATTATTGTAAATTTGAATTGTGTTTGTGAGAGATAAAATATATCAAATGAGATGTCATTTCGTAGATCTCGAAAAGTTATGTGGAATCAAAAAAAAAATTACCTCATCAGATACCCGAGTTAAAAGTTATGGCTTTCCAAAATTTTACGGTTCGTAAGTTGACCTTTTTTACCACGTGTCAACACCAGATGATTCATACCTAAATTAGGTGTGAATGCCTTAGGAGTCACGCCTAATTTGGACGTGAATTTGGGTGTGAATGAGTGCATAGATTCGTAAATAGTTTCAAAACAGCTATGTATTCGTAATTATTTATTAAAATAATAATATTTTAATTTTTTTTGCCTTATGGATTCCTTACATCTAAGAGAAAATGACTATACTGAAGTAAAAAGAGAAAGAAAACCTTCTCAAATCTTTTTTTTTTTCGGATTAAAAACGGCACGATCTGCCGTGTACAGTAATTACAAGAATTTGATTTTAATATAATCACATTCAAAATAATTTACAATCTCACATTATCACCACCAAATCATACGATACTAACTATTTAAACATGACATATAGAGAAAAAAAAATATACTAGAACAAAAAAGGAAATTAATTAATATTAAGTATGTATAACATAATATACTTATTCAAAATAAAAACGGATGGCTAAAAAAAATCTTAAAAAAAGTGGCTCACTAAGTGTATAAAAAAAAAATAAACTTATTGATAATAAAAATGAATAGTAAAAATAAAAAATTATAATAATTATTTTATTTCATCTTTCTTCCTCGATCGGTTTCTATTCTGATAAACATCATGTATTATTGTTTTCAAATAATTTTTGAAACGTTTGATGCACACAAATAATGTCATCTATTTACGATGAAAATGTGAAATGTAAGTATGCACAAAGTAAATATCCGGTCAAAGTTTCTACTAAAAATAAAAAAAATTCGGTCGAAGTAAAAAACTAAAAATATTCAGTCAAAGACCAATTGAAAGGAAACCGTGAATTTTTCAAATGATGTAAGAAATAAAAGCCCAAATTTCATGCATGAGGAGATTATTCCAGATTTTCTTTGCATTATATTTTTTCTAAAAAAATGATAAAATAAAGATATCAAAAGAAACAGAAAAAGAGAGAAATACAAAATGAAAAACAAATAAATAAAAAGGACGCAACATGCGGGACTAATTTTGTTTGTAAATACAGATATTTCAAATTAGTAAAACTTATGATTATGAAAGAAAAAAAATAAAGATACTGAAAAAGAGAGAGAAAGAAATCCTTGTCAAATATACACGAACGAAAAAGGAAATTAATTAATATTAAGTGTGTATAAATAATATACTTCAATGGCATATATTGGTAATAAAAAAAATAAAATATTATTTAAATATTAGCTTATTATGTAGGTTTCTTAATAGTAATAAATTTTTAAAGGTATAAGAATAATAATTTTTAAACACCCACCGTTGTATAATAATTGTATTTACAATTAAGTATATGCCTAAGAAAAAGTACCTATACGATTATTAGATTAAACCTCTTCAATCCAACAATCAATAAAATTCATCGGATACCACCATTATCAATTTTCCGATACGATCATTTATTATCTGATATTTTTTTTTTTCGATACCAATAAAAGTACCTATACGATTGTATTTTTTTTCCTCTTCAACAATTAGCTGGCTCAAATAATAATCAAATCTTGTAGGATATCAAAATAAGAATATAAAAATATTCTTATTGTGTTTGAAGGCGCTCTTAGGAGAGTGAATAATAGCCTGAGGACAGGCCCACGGTTTGAAGCTCTAACCGATAGTATAAAACACGGAATCAAATCCTCGTTGGCCTTTCAAGAGATTATATAAGTGATAAAACCCAGCAACGAGCGAGACTGAAATGAGTGTTTTCTTTTCTTTTCTTTTCTAGCGGACAAAGCATTAAAGGAAACAGCTAAACAAGAACCGGATTTGGTTGGTTAACGTAGTTTCTTGTTGTTGTTTGATAGGTTTCAGCGTTCTTGATCGTTTCCTTGGCTTCTTGTCATACGAAAAGGTTATATACGGCGTTCTTGATCGTTTTCTTGGCTTCTTGTTATACGGGTATATACAACGTTCGTTCTGAACTGTGGTTGAAGATGTTACACTGTACTAAGGTTGTCGTGTCTCAGAATCAGTCTCCAATAGAGGTTGAAGATGTTAAGCGTTACAGGAACCGGAAAAGAAAGCTTCTTGTCAATGAGAGAGTCGAGGTAAGGCTATATAGTTTTTTTTTTTAAATAAAGATATGGTATTCTTTTGTTCATGAATTTCTGGGGTCGTGATTTCGTTGTATGTTTTGTACTTTTTTGTTATCTTTTCAATGCTATGTAGTTATTTCTTTTTAAAATAAAATAAAGATATGATCTTTTTTATTTATGAATTTCTTGGGTCAGTTTCGTTGTTTGTTTTGTTCTTTTCTGTGTTCATGCAAGTGTTGAATTTTGCCCTTCAGCGACCAGAAAATTATACAGGAACTTCAGCGACCAGAAAATTATCCCATAGTTTAGAACCTTAAATAGACAAAAAACGAGAGGGTTAAAGGGGGTCACAAGTGTGTACACAAAAGAGAACAATGGAACATAGATTACAGAATGAGGGTGATGATGAGATAAAACTTAAAAGACTGAACTCAGCAAGGGTTCTTGCACATATGTTCGCTTTTTTGTGATCTACAAGTTGAAAACAATATTTTACCCACAAATTCCCCCTATGGTACATCAGAAGTCTAATATTTTCAAATCGTTGCCCACATAAATAGATCAAATAATCACATCATAGTTATACCCTTTTGACAGTCTACACTATAACGTTAATCATCACTGTCACTGATAGAAAATATTGAACCATTAGTTTGAGATTTGTCCTCTAGTAATTTTCTATCTTTAAATCTACAAAAAGAAAGTGTGGGAGAGTACTTAGTAGTAGAAACCCCAAGACTATGTGAAGCTACAAGAAGACGTTTCCCAACTCTGGATCTTCTATTTTTGTCCCTTGAATTTTTGGAAACCAAGTCAACATGCAAGACATGTGGAGGTGTTTTGGGAGTCAACTGTGGCAAGGAATCAATTTGTCTCTTTGAGTAACTGTGTGCTCTGGTGTTGGACTTGGACTGAACTTCAATCTCACCACAAACAGCTCTAGATGTAACATCTGAGTTTGAAGAGGTGCTAAAATTATCAATCCCATTGAAACCAGAAAAATATTTATTGATTATACCTGTGACTGATATCACTTGTGTTGACATCTTACTGAGACTTCCTTGCATTGAGTTAGCATGCAACTCAACAGGATTTTCAACTTTATTCTCTGGCATCATATGTTGACTCTTATTCGTCGTATAAGTATGTTTGTCTCCAAATCTACAGGAACACCTTTTTGGCATTCCACGGCTGCATTCTTCA